ATTTGGTAATTTGCTATTCATTCGTTTCCTCAGCCATACTGGTCACGGGATGGAATTTAACAATCCTTAATGCTGACTCCACTAGTTTTATCCTTCAATGGACCGGACTTGATGCAAGTGTTAACCATCGCGTAGGGTTTTACCTGATCGAGGTAAAAAGTGCCGAACGTATTTTATTAGCGGTGGAAACTGTTCCGGGAAACACTTCTTCTACAGATATTAAAGGACTGAGCCCTTCGTCAACGTATCGTGTGGTCGTTTTTGGCGTTGATGAAACTGGACAACCGTACAAAAGCTTAGAAAGTGTTGTTACTACGAAAACAGGTATGAGCACTTGAGATAAGGATGTTCGTGCTAATTGTTTCTGCGCATCCTTACTGCGCACGCAAATTTACACACCACATCATGCATGAGCGCGTGCGCTAGTAATAAAATGAACCATGATAGGGCAGATGACCACTGCTATAGCTTTTCCTGGATTTAACGATCTTGAACGTTTGGTGATCCATATTTTTCTTTCCATGAATCGTTTTCTCTACCGATTTTTTACGTTGAACGAAAAAGTGAAGAAAATCTATCGACTAGAAGTTTGAACTTTTTGCAAAATGTACCATGGAATTCCGTTCTTTTTAGCTCTTCGTTCATCTGTGCGACGGTTTCAAATGCCTCTTGAAGGGGTAAGTTTTGTGAAAACGTTGTTAACATTTGTAATTAGTTACGCAACAGATCCACTTCTACAAAATATGCCTAAGATCGTTTGCCTCCGTTGACTCACCTTTGATATTTTAAAATATAAAATCCTATAGACCATGCTGAATTACGTGCGCCAATTTTTCAAAATCAGGGTAGTTTTCCACACGCTTTATCTCTGAAACGAAGTCTCTGACCCCCAATTTTTTTGCATTTCTGACACAAGTATCTCATTATCTGACTGCAGTAAAAGTTTAAAAAAATATATGGACTGGAAAATTTTTGCACGAACGTTCTTAAATGCCTGCATATAAATGCTTGTTACATTTATAGTCTCTATATGGTGTTGTTTGCAATAATAACACTTCACAAACAAGTTTTTAGGATAATTTCGATGCACATACATATCTTATTCTCGCGGTTAAAAATTTAAAGATTTGAAAACGTTATCACAGTTCAATAGGTAAAGTTATGTACCTATAGAAAAATGGCCTTCTTCCTGAAAGTTTCAACTACATGAGTGGGACCTGTTTTTACTTAACTGTGAGGTGCATAAATACAACACTAGAACTAATAATTCCTTCCATTTGCCCTTCTGTAAGGAAATTCTTACTCCGTTTTCAAGGCCTCAGTTTATTTAATTTCCTCAGCCCTGAAATTCGGAAGGCCTCTAGTGTTGCTGTGCTCACCTCTAAACTTAAGCCATCCTTTTTGTTTGATGTATCTTACCTTCTCTTAGTGTGTTGGGTGTGCTTTTTTTGTATTTACACGTTTAGCTTTACTTAACTATTTATTATCCTAAATCATGTGTCCCAATGTCAGCATTTTTATTGTTTTTTTTTTTTCCGTCTTAGGTATCTTAAAGGCAGTCTTTTGCATCAGCCTTATTGACTTCCCTGAGCTTCTTTGCCTTATAGATAACCTTGTAATGTAATCTCACTGAAAACTTTTCTGCACAACGTTCTGGAGCGATGTTTGCCATAGAATAGTGGGTGATCTAGTTTTAAGAAGTTATCTTCCCAATTCCCTCCCAAAGTGTTCCGCTTAGTCCAGTTTGAATGTCTAATGGAAGTTCTTAATTTACTGATCTAGTGTTTTGTGGTGTTCGACCAAGTACAACCCGAATCGTTGGTGGAACAGTGGCACCAGTCAACAGCTGGCCATGGCAGACGATGTTGGTAAACAGTTATGGACGTCAATTTTGTGGCGGTTCCTTAGTGGATGCATATTGGGTATTGACTGCAGCTCACTGTGTGAATGGAAATTCACCCTCCAATATCAAAATAAGGTGTTAGTCTCCTTACTATATGAAGTTTTAATCATCAATGCTCTGAAACCTTCAAAATCAGAATTCGTAGCAGATTTTAAAAACCGAATAAAAAATACAGAAAAGTCTTTCCGCTAAAATTGAATAGGTCGAATAAATAAACAACCTGAGCGGTTATTTTTGGCAAACAAGATCAGATTCATTGACGTAGACTTTAAAAAAAAAACTATCGTAGGTACAAACAACCTCATACCTCCAAGAAACAGCTGACACATCGCAAGTTCATCTAGGGATGAATGAACTGTTACTGAACGTTTAAGTATTACAGAGTAGAGTCTGACCTTCCCTAAGAGAAGGAGACCATGGTCTCCTGCCTCCTTCGGATCTGTTTCCCCTTGTACGCTCGAGGGTTAAAAGGACGACCAATTCAGCCTAGTGGGTTTAATTAAAATGAGGTTGATTTTGTCTATCCTTTCCTTTTGTTTTATTCAGGTTAGGAGCGCACTACAGAACCAGTAGCAGTATTGGAACAGAACAAGACATTGGAATTGCAAAAATTATAATGCACGAGAATTATAACAGTCCCAACTCTTACAGCTATGATATTGCCCTTATTAAACTTGTGAGCCCGGCTGATCTTGGAGTTGGAGTTGGGCTTGTTTGCTTGCCAGATACCAGTCATCAGCTTCCCCTCGACAACATAAACAAGAAATGCTGGATAACTGGCTGGGGGACTACATATTCTGGAGGCCCCTCGGCAAATTCTCTCATGCAAGCAGAAGTGCCACTTGTGTCCCAAAGTCGTTGCGAAACTGCTTATCCTGACCAAATTGACGACTCCATGCTTTGTGCTGGTCTAGATGTCGGAGGAGTTGATAGTTGCCAAGGTGACAGTGGTGGACCATTGGTGTGCGAGTTCAATGGTACCTGGTATCTTGAGGGAGCCACCAGCTGGGGTTACGGATGTGCCGTAGCAGGGCGGTATGGGGTGTATTCCAAAATTCGAAAGTTTAAATCATGGCTGTTGACAAATATGTACACTGTCGTCCCACCTAGTGTATCACCACCGGCTCAGTCACCTTCTACATTAGGTAAAAATGATAAAAAATGATAATCTTTTAACAAAACAATTCTTAACACAATATGACCTTGTTTAAAAATTAATATTAAGACAGATAAGGTCCATTTACATAAACACTTTTCTTGCACAAATGGCTACAAATCGCGTGATAAGTGTATCTTTTTCGTCAAATGTGATGTCAACTCTATGTTACACACCGCCATAACTCTGAAAAAATGCACTGGTTCCCAAAATTCTGAAGGATGCTATTGGGCTGAAAATTATCAACGTATATAAAAGAATGAATATTGGCGGAGAAATGGAGGTTTGTCGTTTTCGCCGGAAGCAAAAGTTTCCCTCTTGATTGACAGCCCTATGACTTTATTGCAATCAACCGAGACGACGCTTGCACGAATTACCTGTACGGATGTCACGAATTGGCGACTCACATGACGCTAAATGGGCATTAGTTTTTGATGAAAAAGCTATTTTCAGTTGATCAGCGTTGTTGGTCTGACTACCAAGCATTTTTCGTATTAGATGTAATTCGATTAAGTTATTAGCAAATATGGACCACGGGAAATCGATAAAGCAAAAACAGCAAAGAACGAATGAAACTACATCAATGAGTTAAGAAG